ATGCCCAGCTATTTTTTTTTTTTTTGGTTGCAGCTGTCTTTGTTGTTTGGCGGGCCTGGGCTGGATTCGAACCCGCCACCTTGAGTGTATGTGGCTGGTGCCTTAGCCACTTGAGCTACAAGTGCCGAGCCTGTATGAAAGGTCTTTATTGGTGGGGGAGGGAGGCTGCAGAGCAGCACCTAGGAGGAGAGAAGAGAAGAGAAAAGAGGGGAGAGAGATAAGGAGTGAGGAAAAGAGAGTAGAGAAGAGCGAGGGGGAAGAGGGGGAAAAGAGAAAGAGGGGAGCAGACATGTACCCTTATATAGGGAAGTCTCAGAATGGTGCCAGGCTGGTGGGATAACCAATAAGGAGTTATTGCTCAGGCGGAAAGAGACATAGGGGCGGGCAGCAGGAAATTGGAACAGGATGGTGAGGTAAGCAGGCCACTCCCTGTGCTAGGAGAGGAGTTGTAACTTTAAGGGCTGGAAGGGGCTTTTTTTGGGGGGGAGGAGCTTTCTGAGGCAATTATCGAACAGGGTTCCCTTTGGGGTATCCAGGCCCTCCACACACCCACCAAGGAGCACAGGTCCAGGCCACCAGACTTGCTGAATATTTATTTGGCCCCTTCTTAGAAGCAGGACAAGGATCAGGCTGTGTGGAGAAAGCAGCATGAGGGAAAAGGGGATAGTAAATGGGAGCACTGATTGTCAGAGGGCAGGAGTCTGGGGCTGGGAACCAGACTGCTGCCCCTCCTCCTGCCAGGGGTTCCTGGGGCTTCTGGGTGTGAGGGGCCAGTGGTGTTAGCAGGTTGTCATGATTGGCATAATAGGGGCTGAGAAGGCAGGAGTAGATCAGATGGTGGGGGTGGGGAAGTAGGGGGACCCAGTGGTCAGAGAAGGCTTCAAAAGGTAGCACTGGGCTTGGCTTTGGCCAATCTCAGAAGTCTGGGATCAGCAGCCAGAGTCCAGGCTTGGCCAGGAGTGTGGGGTGAGGATCAGGGTGCAGGCAGCAGCCTCACTCGGTCAGGGGGCCACAGTGAGTGCCACTGGGCAATGGGCCGACGCGGGTTGGCCAGCATGTCTGCCCAGTGCCTCAGGCCAGCCCCACCTGCTGCCGCACCTACGGCCACCCTCCCGATGGCCTCGTTTTTTCCCAGCTTGTCATAGTCCAGCACAGTTAGCTCCACTTGGACCTTCTGGGGTGGGTAAGAAAGGTAGAGAAGAGACAGGAGAGTGAGGAAATGAGACTCTGAGAGGGGGTCCAGAGTCAGCTCTCACTGCTAAGGACATCTCTGCAGACTGTGTGCTAAGGGCCTTGCTAGAGGAGCTGGGTACAGGGAAGTGGGTGGGAGATAGAAGGGACAGACCTATGCTGACAAGTGTGCTCTGGAGCCTTCCTTCCCTGGCAAGCAGGTTTCTAAGGAAATGAACCTTCAAGACCCCATTGCTCAGGGGTTAGAAGCCTTCTTAGGGAACAGGCTCTGAACAGGGACAAAGCTTCAGAACTTTGACATGGGACAGAAAGCCTTAGGTCTGGCTAGGCCCTGTCTCTAAAGGGGCTTGGGAAGTTTCTTCTTCTTAGTTTCTGGGGGACAGTATCCATTGTGCTTAGACGGAGGGGGCAGCTGCTCTAGCTTAGGGCTGGCAGAATGCTCATGCCCAGGAGACCCTTTCTTTTCCTTTCTTTCTTTTTTTTTTTAAGAGACAGAGTCTCACTTTATCACTCTTGGTAGAGTACATGGCGTCCCAGCTCACAGCAACCTCCAACTCCTAGGCTTAGGCAATTCTCTTGCCTCAGCCTCC